CATTTATTTTCTACCATTTTTTCCCCACAAAAAAGAATATGAAGAGGCCCTGCAGGTATGAGTCGTTTATTGTATGTTTTGTGAAAAGTGACAATGCAGAATGTTTTTTTTTAAAAAAAAAATCTTACACTCACTAAGTGTTCTTCAAATGATTTCTTGCACAGAAGTTTCATACATTTGATGTCAAAAACTTAAAGAGTTTTACTTTATTTACTTTATATCTTCTCCCAGTACTATAAACATTTGAAAGACAGAGAAGGCTTAGATAAAGCCTACATTTATGCTGAAATACCTTTTACTCATATTGTACAAGCAATTTTGGGGAAACTGAGTAAGATTAAAAAAAGAAATAAAAATCCTTATAGTGGTAAGTCATAAGGCTTTATACAAGGATGTTCCTTAAATTGAATTTCATAAAATTGGTAAAAGATGTAGGACATCATTCCAGCAATGATGAGGTCACCAGGCTGGTACCACTTGTGTTGGAACAGGGAAAGCATCACTTCTAGGGCAGCTCAGACTAACTATTTTTTTTCACTAAAAATATTAAAAGGAGAAACATCTTAACTTCATTGTTATAGGCAAAATGTCTCTGACTCCTATCTTATCCTATCCTATCCTATCCTATCCTATCCTATCCTATCCTATCCTATCCTATCCTTTATCATAGGGAATTTTGTATTATTCCAATGGTTAATTCGGTAATTAATTCAAGATGTGCATCTGAGAGTGCACCTAATCAGAAACTTTACCATTGTCTATTTGAAGATCCAAGAGAATGCAAATTTGTGTTTTAATATCAGTAAAAGCCGTGATGGCACAGTGTTTAGAATGCAGTACTGCAGGCTACTTCTGCTACCTGCTGGCTGCCTGCAGTTTCGCAGTTCAATCCTGACCGGCTCAAGGTTGACTCAGCCTTCCATTCTTCTGAGGTTGGTAAAATGAGGACCCAAATTATTGGAGACAATATGCTGACTCTGAAAACTGCTTAGAGAGTGCTAAGAGGTATATAAATCTAAGAGCTATCAGGTATTCTGGTATTCTGGCAGAGGAGAAGAGAGAGAGGCAATTTGTAGCAATGAGTCTGACACACAGCCTTTATCACCCATGAGCCAATATTGTTGTGGTTCAAGTGTTACTTTATACTCACACAGATACAATGATTGTTGTTGAATTTATATAGCCTTCTGTGCAGTATTTGATGTTTTTGTCTAATTAGGAAAATGTGGTGATTCCTGTAGGAGATAATTATTTTGTTTTTTGTGAGAGAAGACACAGCTGAAAAATATGTTTTTTTTAGTTGCTAACTTCTCCACCTCTATACAATGTATAGAGAGGGTTGACAATACAAAATAGACATGATTTTTTAAATTCATATTATTTCTCACAACAAATGATAAATGCAGTCCATCTTCCTTTGCATAGTGTTAACAAGAATAGAATAGAATAGAATAGAATAGAATAGAATAGAATAGAATAGAATAGAATAGAATAGAATAGAATAGAATAGAAGCTGGAAGGGACCTTGGAGGTCTTCTAATCCAGCCCCCTGCTCAAGCAGGGAATCTATACCATCTCAGACAAGTGACTGTCTAGCCTCTTCTTAAAATTCTCAAGTGATGGAGCGCCCATGATTTCTGAAAGCAAGCTCTTCCACTGTTAATTGTCCTCACAGTCAGGAAGTTTCTCCTTAATTCCAGGTTATGTTATGTCATTCCCTCATTCTAAGAGGTTTTCCATTATTTCTTTCCCCATCCCCCATAGAACAGAATAGAATAGAATAGAATAGAATAGAATAGAATAGAATAGAATAGAATAGAATAGAAGAGAAGAGAAGAGAAGAGAAGAGAAGAGAAGAATGGGAACTTGGAGATCTTCTAGTCCAATCCCCTGCTCAAGCAGGAAGCCTTATACCATTTCAGACAAATGGTTGTCCAATCTCTTCTTAAAAACTTCCAATGTTGGAACATTCATAACTTCTAGAGGCAAGTTGTTCCACTGGTTAATTATTCTGTCAGGAAATGTTTTCTTAGTTCTAGGTTGCTTCTCTCCTTAAATAGCTTTACTCCCTCTTCTTTGTGGCAACCCCTGAGATACTGGAACACTGCTATCATGTCACCCCTAGTCCTTCTTTTTATTAGACTAGTCATACCCAATTCCAGCAACTGTTCTTTATATGTTCTTTATAGAAGGGAAGGGGATACCTCTATTGTTTCCACAATTTATAGGTTGGGTGACATTTTTACTAACATTAGCCATGACAGTGAGTACATTTTTTTAAATTCTATTTGGAAAGGCACAGGTATCTGTAGGCTTAGATCTTACTGTGGGCTTCTAACATTTTGGAGACTAATTCCAGCAGAGGGTTTAACCCCATAGTAAAATTTGTGATCATCTACACCTCACAATTTCCAAAGAGATGAAAGTTGTTCTCGTTTTTTTTCTTTTTTCCCCTCTCTCTCCCCCACTGCTCCCTAACTCACAATATCAGATTTCATTTTACACAGCAGTGTTGGAAAACTCACAAATTAAAACTCATCAAGCATGAATTCACTATAAGGATCTATTTGATGGAGTGGATAAAGGAGAAAAGAGGCAATTCCACAGAAATTGGAATTTCTAAACAGAAATTTGTTGAGAAAGGTATAGTTTATTAGAGGTCAAATGTATTGCAGTATTGCAAAGCCAGACTTGAGAATCACATGCCCAAATCCATAAGTTCTACTTTTCCTCCCTTAACTATCTGTCATTGTCCACCCCAATGTAACCAATCAGGTCCATGCAAGAAGTTTTCATAATGGTCAGTCTAAGCACAGTTTGGAATGCAGTCCTCTCCTTCTTCCAGCTGGGTGAACTTGAGGCAGTGTCTCAAGGAGATAAAGCACTTACTTTCATTTCCCCAACCATTCCCACCTTCATTTTCCCTCCCCATAGTTCATGGCAGTCTGTCACCACATAACAGCAAAGCACAAGCAAGCATAAGGTGGCAGCTGGCAAATATTGAAAAACTCACAAATGAAGATGCAGCCAGTGTGAATTTGTTGTAGATATCTAGCTGATGGAATGGACAAAGAGAAAGAAGCAATGGAGCCCAACATTTATTTCAAACTTCTCTCTTCAGATCATCAGCTTAATGGCAGAAGGCAGAGCTTTGTTTTACTATATGAGAAATGCAGAGGGAGAGAATTCTCTCTGTGTGCTTAAATTTGAAAGGTTTCCTTTGGAGGGCACCAAAGAGTTGCTAACCAAAAATACAAATACAACACAAGACCAAAGAATGATATTAGTATAGATAAATAGCAGCAGACTCCTTGGACAATTTCAACTTTCACTGCATCCATTCATCCCTTTTTGATCCAATTTGGCTGGACCTTAATTTTGTTTACCAGCTATTTCTCCCTTAGTCCCATCTCCCCATTCTCTTTTACCTAGCAGTCCCTAAACTAAAATTTTCAATTGCTTTTCATTTCAACTATATACTTAAGATGGGAGAACATTATCAAACAAAACTCAAGCAGATTATGGGAACAGTGGTAGAAGGAATATATTGGTGGGCTTTAGTGGCCAAGAGGTTGAATTGGTTATAGCATTTAATGATTTCAGTCTTTGTAAGGTCTTTTCTTTGTAATCTTTGACCCTTATCTTAATTTTGCATATTAGGCCAGAGAAAATTTCTGTACCACCATGAATACTATGAATGCTATTAGTATGGTGAAGCAATAATTTCATAGATATGACATGGGACATTGAGGAAATTAGTCATGTGAAAGTGCAAGAGAATCAAATATCAGGAAGAGGAACTTCCCACATGCTTTCCTAAACTAGTGATATTTTGTGAATAGCTAAGTGCCACTGAAACAACAGAAGCCAGAGAGGAAGTCCAATAAATGAAAGAAGCCTTCCTTTCTGATCCTTACTATTCTTTTTGCACTCGAGTCAAAGTACGTATGAAATATTGGAAGAATATATCTCCCAGAAGCACATTAAGAAGAGTGAATTCTCTCAGTAAAATTCAGCTCAAGGTGAAGACAACAAAACCTATTCTAGTCTCCTTGCTATATAGCAAACCCCCTACCTGAGCTCCTGGAGGCCATCTCAGACTTGATAGTCAAGTTCCTCAGGCTTATAGTCCTGAGGGACTTCAATCTGCTTGGCATGCTGCTTGATCTTGGAAGAAGCTCAGGAATTCATGGCCACCATGACAACCATGGGCCTATCCAGGTCATCCATGCCAAATTAAGACCATGGTCATACTACAGGATTGATCTTGTCAGAGCAGTGGCAATGTTATCTGTCAAAATCCCCTCTGTCATGATCAGACCAAGACATGGTGGCCTTGAGATTTTCTTATGTTTGCCCCCCCCCGCCCTTGATGACAGATGGACTAAAGAATTTCTGACACCCTGGACAGGACCCCAAAAATGTCCCTCTTCTGGCCTATGAGACCTGACATTCGTCATTGTTAATGGAGGAGCTGAGGGTATTGTAAAGGGCCAAGAGATGGCTAGAGAGCTGCTGAAGAAAAAGAATGATTCTGACCTACCACAGGTCAGAATTCTGATTAAGACCTACTTTATGGTGTTAAGAGCAGTGAAAATCAATATTTCTCTGCACTTATTGCATCTTTAACCTTTTCAAGATCATCCAGTCCCTCCTCAGGAAGGAGGATTCAGATTATCATCTTCCGGACTTTGCAGAGGAGCAATAGCTGATGGATCAGATTTGCTCTCAGTTTGAGTCCAAGGATGGTACAAGTCCATTAGAGATGCTTGGAAAACAGACTTAACCTGTTGGGAACAATTTGACCCTGTGATAAAGTGGATAGAGTATTAGGGGCACACAACACAACTATTTCCTTATTAAACTTAGAGTAAGAATAATATTCTATGAATCTCCTTTGATAGAAAGAAAAACTTCTATATGTTTTCTCTACATAGCAAGAAGACTTCTCATTCTTTTTGGAAAACAATTTCTCCTACTGAAAAAGAACACAAGGTACACTAATTCTTCTTTATGAGTTGCTTCCGGTGGTTGAGTTGTGGCTGTAAAACAATGATGTAGCATTTTGGCAAAAATATGCATCCCAGTAATGCAGCACTAGAGGACAAGATGGAGAAGATCTCCACAGCTACCATGGCTCTTCCTTTTGTGCTCAAATAGGCTGGAAAGAAGGACACCCAAACACTGCAAAAGGCTAACATGCTGAATGTGATGAACTTGGCTTCATTGAAGCTGTCAGGTAATGTACGGGCAAGAAAAGCCACAATAAAGCTGGCAATAGCCAAGATACCCATATATCCCAGCACACAATAGAAGAACAAAGCTGACCCCTCATTGCATTGTAAAATAATTTCTTGGGATTCTGACTGCATGTCTAACTCAGGGAATGGGGGTGATATTGACAACCAAAGCATACAAATACATACTTGAAAGAGAGAACAGGAAAAGACAGTAGAAAAGGCCAATCTTTTCCCCATCCATCGTCTCATCTGAGATCCTGGTTTAGTGGCCATGAAAGCAACAACCACAGTGATGGTTTTGGACAGCACACTAGAAATAGCCACTGAGAACGTGATTCCAAAGGTTGATTGCCGGAGAAGGCAGGTCATTTTGCCAGGTTGGCTGAGGAAGAACAAAGAGGAGAGAAAACAAAGTAGAAGAGAGACAAGTAAGGTGTAGGTGAGGGACCGATTGTTGGCTTTGACAATAGGAGTGTCCCTGTACTTAATAAAAGTTCCAAGAACCCAAGAGGTCAAGAAGAAGAAACAAAGAGCAGTTGAGGCTAAACCAATTCCTAAGTTTTCTTCAAAAGTTAGAAAGGCCACTGATTTTAGGATGCATCTGTTTTTTTCTTTATTTGGGTAATGATCTTCTGCACATTCAAAACAATCTTCCATATCTGGAAAAAAAATAAAGGAATTTCTCATCTAGGCATTCAATATTTCTTATAATTACTTTCTGTATGTATGCCAACTATTATTCATTTTGAATTCTTCAACTGTTAACTTGTGGAATCTTTTTTATATGAAAATGCAGTTTTTTTCTCAGTTGTATTATTCAGTATTTATTATAAAAGAAAAAACAATGAGCAAGTTAATTATTATTTGAAAAGGAATCCTTTCCAAAAATTTCAAGTTTATTTTAATATAAAACTTTTGAACTTTTCCCATTTCTAAAATATGGAGAAAAAACTTTGATGATAAAATATAAGACTTTAGTGACAAAAACAGCAGTACTGACTCTGAGGAGCAAACCACTTTAATTCATTTAAATTCTTTTAATTTTTCTCTTTCCTATAGAATATACTATAGGGTTAAAGTAAGGAGTGGTCAGTCTTTCTATTTGAATAAAGTGTGGGATCTTTAAGCAAAAAGAGTCACCTAAGTTTTCTGTAAAATATGAGAGGCATATAAATCTGATCCCTGTACTTTATTCTAATCTTTACAATCCTTTTGTGTTCTATGCGAAAAACATAGGTAGGAGACACCAAGGTAGAATTCTACAAATATCCATCCTATGTCGCTTTGAGGGTAGAATATCTGATCTATTCACAAACTTTTCTTTGTCTGATGAAACTTTTCTTTCCCTTACATTCAAGTTTATAGGAGAGAAGGCTTAGAAGGCAGATCCAGTGAAACAAATGTCTCCATGTATGCTCTGATAAGTGACCTGAAGCAATCAAAAGCCTGTTTCTTGAGCTTTAGTATAGAGGTCTCCAACATTTCTCAGCTAGCAGACCAGAGGGAAAGAGAGGGGGAAGCAATTTATGCACATATGCACGCACACACACAAGGGGCTGTGAGCATGCATGATGCAAATGGGGTGGTGCTAGTGCCTGTGTGACAATTGCTAGCACTTGCCTCATTTTCACCATGTGGCACCCCATTTTTGCCATGCAGTGCCCTGTTTTCACCACGTGGCACCCCATTTGCATAGTGGCAGTGGTGCTAGTGTGAGTGGGGATGAGCACACGCACACACATGCATGCACTGGCCAGCCTGTTCCACAGCCTGCTGGCCAGAAGACCACAGCCTGGTAGTGGGCCATGGTCCACAGATTGAGAACCCCTGCTTTAGACTAACATTGATTTAAATTTTAAATAAAACTTTATCTAAGTCGATTCTCCTTATTTCAATTACATATAGCCCATAAACAAAGAGGAAGAAAAGATAAACAAGTTTCTGAGTTAATTCAATGCCCATAGACTTCAATGATATATTCATGTTTTCTGAAAAGAAGAAAATAAATTGTTCCTGTTTTTCCCCAATTAGTTCTTTAATTCCCAATCTACTGTACACATTGGCTGGTAATCTTCCATTCAGATAGTAACTATGTAACTTTCTTAGCTGGACTTAACAATGGTTAGGTTTTCATCAAAGTTATGAATATTGTCACCATAAGGTAGAATTTTTAAAGAAATGTTTAATATTTCCTGAGTTTATTAGAAAAATCATGATATTTTGTTTCTTCTGTGAACAATCTTTAGAAAAAGAACAACTAATACAAACAATTTTAAAATGTGAAAAATGGATGAATAGTTATAGATCATAATAGAAGATCAATGACTGAATGTACAGATAAAAGATGGTAAATGAGAGAGAGAGAGAGATGAATGATAGATGATAAAATAGACAGACACAGATGATAGATAGATAGATAGATAGATAGATAGATAGATAGATAGATAGATAGATAGATAGGTGATAGATTAAATAGATTAGATGATATAGATAGATAGATAGATAGATAGATAGATAGATAGATAGATAGATAGATAGATAGATAGATAGATAGACAGACAGACAGATGGATGATAGAGAGATAGGTGGTAGATTAACTAGATTAGATGATAGATTAGAAAGATAGATAGATAGATAGATAGATAGATAGATAGATAGACAGACAGACAGACAGACAGACAGACAGACAGACAGACAGACAGACAGACAGACAGACAGACAGACAGACACATATAGATAGGCCCTGTATAGGAAACATTACCTGCCAAAATATCATGGGCAATCTTTGAGTCCTGAACAATAAATTGTGATCCAGAAAAAAAGACTATTCACTCTGAAGAACTAGTAAAACTATTAATTATATGCATGCTAACACAGTTTGTTTTCTTAGGGGTATTTAATGAAAACATGGTGGATTGTTTAACTCAGAGGTCCCCAACCTTTTGGGCACCAGAGACTGGTTCCATGGAGAGAGGTTTTTCCATGGACTGGAGTGTGTGTGGTTTTGTATGCTGCCTGCATCCCGAGGATGGGGCTTTGCTTTTTTGTTGCTGGCATGCCATGGCTGAGTACTGGTCCTCGGAGAAGGGATTGGGGACCCCTGGTTTAACTTACCATTTTGATTTGTAATCTTTCCTTCTGGGCATGGAACACAGTCATAGCAACAGAATTCTTTTTCTTCTGTCCCTTTCTTCCAATTTCCAGGGGAACAAGGATCATTACACAGAGAAATTGGAAGTACCTGGTTTTTCAAAAAGAGATTTTTTTAATAAAAAAATCCTAATTATTAGTAATAGTAATAATAGTAAAGTTGGAAGGGACCTTGGAGGTCATCTAGTCCAACCCCCTGCTCAGGCAGGAAACCCTATACCATTTCGGACAAATGGCTGTCCAGTCTCTTCTTAAAAACTTCCAGTGTTGGAGCATTTACTGCTTCTGGAGGCAGGCTGTTCCACTGATTAATTGTTCTCACTGTCAGGAAGTTTCTCCTTAGTTCTAGGTTGCTTCTCTCCTTGATTAGTTTCCACCCGTTGCTTCTTGTCCTGCCTTCAGGTGCTTTGGAAAATAGCTTAATTCCCTCTTCTTTATGGCAGCCCCTGAGATATTGGAACACTGCTATCATGTCCCCCCTTGTCCTTCTCTTAGTTATTCTCCTTTATGGAGAGAAAGAATTTCAATGGCTTGCTTGAAGAAGAGCAGGGTGAGTGAATAAATGTGCCTGATGACAATCTTATGGAAACAACGTGACTCCCATAATTTCAAATGGAAATGCAGCTCAAATATGAAAATCTGGCTTTTACATTGTAATGTCGTTTTATCAGTTTGGGTAAATGCTTGAACATGGTCAGCATTTGTACAGAATATAAGTTTTTTTAAAAAATTCAGAAAGAGAAATTAGATTTATAAAGAGACTATGTTCAATATGGCTTTAAAGTCATTTTCATGGTATCATAATGGATCACACACAGTCCATTAAATGTGTCCTTACCTGGTTAAAAGCTGGATGCCAGACAATCCTCTCTTCATCAATGAATAATTTCTTCCCTTTTGGAGCATGAGGATCTATCTTTCCAACTCTAACTCTCTGAAAGGATCTGTTTGGAAAAGGGATGAAATTAATTATGTCGAATCCACCTGTTTCTGCTCCTTCTTCATTCAGGGACACTCTCTCCCCAGCTGAATTGTTAAAAGAAATGCCTTGAAGAAATGGATGGAGCTACTTAAAAGAGATAAAAAGAGAGGGAATTAAAAGGATAATAATGGAGAGGAGACCAGTATATTCAAGTTTCATTGATACATTCTTCCCATTTCTATAACAATTATCAGACAGGTACACCTAGAAAACTGATCACAAATATTACACAGATATGTACAGGTGTATTCTATTATTAAATTCATATTATTTTAAGGAAGGACAAGAAACAACGTCAAGAAACAAAAGTATAATAAAAAGAGCACATTTTTTTTGTTTAATTAAACTTCAACAGTATCTCGTCTTATCTTCAACTTTTCCTTCCTAATTGGTACAAAGCTATTTTGGAGCCTGGGAGAGATAAATTTGGTTTGGATTGCTTTTAGAATGTGAGTCTTCAGTGTTCTTCTATAGATAGGACAAAGAGAGAGATTCTTTCAAAGATAGTTTTTCCAAAGGGTGAAGGCCATAGCTGAAAAGGACCATCTATCGGTGCATCCTTCTTGAATTCTGATAGCGAGAATATGCTCAGTTTCTCCACCATGAGCCAAACAGAAGTAACTTGGACTATTGATAACTTTTGTAGACAACCAAAATGGAAGTGATCAAGGACTTCATTTCAACCATCTCTTACTGTGCAAATTCTTATGACTTCCTACACAAACCCTATTAACACATTAATCATGATATTTTTGTTGTTGCTAATTGCGAAGTCGTGTCCTACCCATCGCGACCCCATGGACAACGTTCCTCCAGGTCTTCCTGTCCTCTACAATCTTCTGGAGTCCATTTAAATTCACACCTACTGCTTCAGTGACTCCATCCAGCCATCTCATTCTCTTTCGTCCCCTTCTTCTATTGCCCTCAATCTTTCCCAGCATTAGGCTCTTCTCCAGTGAATCCTTCCTTCTCATTAGGAATCATGATATATATAGTAGCTTTTCAATGATCACACATTAACTTTACTGCAGGATTCAATCTGGGTCAGTCATCAAGACCATATTCTGAGCTTTGGACTCATCCTGGAGCCCATCCTCTTTATAAATAACTTTATTCCACAAGCATAAAATATTAAAACTTTGCATAATTGGTTCCAAACATAATTCTACATCAGACTTCTCATTGCAATAAAGGAAGCGTTCAGTGGAGAAAGAATACCTGCCAAGACTGCAGATCTGGAAGATCAAGTTTTTTATCCATCATGGTGTTTTTCTTTGTGAACCTCAAAATGAGTAGAGCCTGCAAAGCATGAGCCACAGAATAAACGGCATTGTAGATACTATAGCTTTGGCCAGTCATTTCCATTTCAAACACAGGCCCAGGAAGATCCTCCAGCTTCATCTCCCCATTGCATTTCCTACTGTGTATTTCATGTAACTCTGGTTTTGGAAATGAACAATCAAATGATTGTTCCCAAACATCATGCAGAAACTCATCTCTGTAGACTGAATATGGTTTTATGGTCTGAAGGAATTCTTTGAAACCTGCAACTGCTCCTGAATGAACAGTGAAGGAAATAGCCCCATAGAACATCTGGAGATCCCATGTGATTTGAATGCCTGATAGTGCAAAATCAATCTGTGCAGTCATGATCCACATCTTTCCAAGTAATGCAGTTTTCTTATTTTCAGAATCTGCCAAAAATGTGACACCTCTGAGAGTCATTATTGCCAATGATTCTCCATAGACAAGCAATGCGTTGGCTTTGCTATTCATCAAATTAATGGAAATACAAGAAAATTGGTGATAAAGATCTTTGTAGTCTGCCAGGTTGATGAGTTGTGGAAGCCTTTGAATGAACGAGGAGCAGATGCCATTCTGTGAAAGTAAGGGCTCCATTTTCTGTAAAAAATATTCTCCATTGTTGTTATCTACAGCAAAAATCCCAATCCATGTCCAGCTGAAATGACGAAGCAGTTGGATAATCCCAATGTACTGATGGTCCTCTTTGGGGACCATGAAATAAAATTGCTTACTGGTCTGAAATTTCTCTTTGCCTAATGAGCCATATGTGAGCTAAAAGAACGCAACATAGTATTCTGTTCATTTGTTAGCTCTTGATGTGATCTTTCAGATCAAGGACTCATGTAAATATATCCAAAGAAGTGTCAACACTGCCTCCACTAGGACTCCTAAGAAAAATTATCCTTGGCTCCTTTGTTGCAAAAAGCATAGTTTTATCATAAGTCAAGTGAATTACCATAGAACAAAGCCAGAACTGAGGTCTGTGTGCCTAAATCTCTAGGTTTACGTTCCCTCCCCTAGGTCACTTCTTACTGCTGGTTTCCTATTGGGTATGTCTAGTTTAATGAAAGGAAGAGCTAGGGGTGACATGATAGCAGTGTTCCAATATCTGAGGGGTTGCCATAAAGAAGAGGGAGTCAAGCTATTCTCCAAAGCACGTGAAACAATGGATGGAAACTAATCAAGAAGAGAAGCAACTTAGAACTAAGAAGAAATTTCCTGACAGTGAGAACAATTAATCAGTGGGACAACTTGCCCCCAGAAGTTATAAATGCTCCAACACTGGAAGTTTTTAAGAAGAGATTGGACAACCATTTGTCTGAAATGGTATAGGGTTTCCTGCCTGAGCAGGGAGTTGGACTAGATGACCTCCAAGGTCCCTTCCAACTCCTATTCTATTCTATTCTATTCTAATTTTTTATTATTCTATTCTATTCTATTCTATTCTATTCTATTCTATTCTATTCTATTCTATTCTATTCTATTCTATAATCATATTCAAATGAAGTGTTTTGGAAATGGTCTCTTCCACTGGGGTTTGCCGGTATGCAACTGAATGCCATTCCCAGCTGTCTGACCTTGAGAAGCTATGGTGAATAGTCTTCCCCCCTACTAAACAGCTCCTTCCACTCCCCACCCCCCGAGTTCATGGCAGATTGGCATTGAGCAATAACATTGTGCAGACATGAAATGGCCATTCTGATAGGAAGGATTTTTTTCCCCTAGAATTCCTCTAAATATAGAATGGAATTTCTAGGGATTATTTCAAACACACATAATGGGTCAATGGTTTTAATAGGAGCAGAGAGAACTACACTTAAATCTTCCCTCAGATATGGATGACCCAGGATACTTTGGTACATTTACTTTGATGATTGGCATCATAGTTTCAAAAAAAGAGTGCTATGTACTTTACTTTTAAGCCCTGCAGAAATTTGTAATATAAATCTAAGACTTATATCTGATGATCAATAATTATGCCATAATAACAGAAACAGATAGAATTTTCCTCCTCAGGCCCTAAATATTTACCTGTGGAATCTTGAACAAACCTACAATTTCATCTATATAAGATGAAGTATCAGAACTTAACCCTCCAATGATTGCCATGAGAGTCTTCTGGCTATCACATTTGTAGTTAGGATAAAATTCCTGGGATTTGAAAAGCAGGTCCAGAGTGGTGCGATAGGTCATCCTTGGATTGTAGTAACTGTCATAGATGTGGAACCCGAAGGTGACATTAGGTAAGATTTGCAGGTCCTCATTGATCTCCTTCACAGCAAAGGCCAAGGCAAGTATGTGCTGGTAGAATTTGGTTATTACACTGCAAATAATTTAAATAAACCCATTGAAAAAATTGACAATTTAGAATACAGTAGAGTAGAGTAGAACAGAACAGAACAGAATAGAAATAAGAATAAATCGAATTGAACAGAACATAACATAACAGAAATAAGAATAAATCGAATTTAACAGAACAGAAATAACAATAAATCGAATTTAACAGAACAGAATAGAATAATTGAGTTGGAAGGGATCTTGGAAATCTTCTAGTCCAAACCCCTGCTCAGGAAGGAAACCCTATACAATTTCAGACAAATGGTTTATGTAAGGTGACATTACTTTTCTATGAATAAAAATCAATTCTATTATCTCATGGAACTAGGAATATAATAGCCTTTCTAAAAGGCTTAAACATTTTCAGAAAGTTCAAATTTATTTTTCCCATGGTATTCCCATGATTTGCAAAACATATCTAACCCTAAATATTCTCTACTTTTTAGACAATATTTCCATTATGTGCAACAGTGATGTCCTATAAGACATAAAATAAAATAACTTTTTTCCCCAAGATATCACACAATGTTCTTCAAAAACATATTACGCCAAAGTTTCATTCATTTCATGAGAAAGACTTGAATGCAATGGGGGAAAAAACCCTATTTCTTCCCCACAACTACATTTCTTTGAAACATGGAGAATTTTTAGATTCTGTATGGAACTACTTTTATGCTCAAGCAGCTTTTATACTCATTTAAGCAATTTTTGAGAATCTGATTAAGGTTAGAAAAAAAATCTTACATTGGTAAATCAAAAGGTTTCAGGGAGGGATGTTCCTTAAATTGAATTTCATAAAAGTGGTAAACAATATGAGACATTATCCCACCAATGATGAAGTCACCAGGCTGGTACCACTCATGTGGAACAGGAAAAACATTATTTGTAAGGCAGCTCTGTGTAACTTCTTTGTGCCCCAAGAATAACAAAAGGAACAACATCTTTCCTGCATGTTTAGCTGAAAATATCTGTGTCTTCCATCCTATGCATGGATAAGCATGGATTCCAACGATGAACCAAATGATTAATCCAAGGTTTATATCTCAGAATGCAACTAATGAAAAAAATCTATCATTTGCTATCCACGTGAGTGCAAATTTGCACCTTGGATAGGATGGGAACTTGAAGCAATGAATCTGACAGACCCTTTTTTCCGTTTTGTTCCAAACTTCCTGGGGTTCAAGAACTACTTTATAATCTAACATATAACTTGGTGATTGTTCATTTATATACCCTTCTCTGCCATCTTTGATGTTTTGAAGTAGCTCTGAAAATATGGTGATTCCCCACTGAGATAATTGTTTTGGTTTTTTTGGTGAGAAAATAACTGACTGATGGTTCAATTCTTTTCTAAATAAGTAAATGCTAAAAATGTTGTGTAAGTGAGCTTAGCAATAAACAGGCTTAGTTAATCTTCTAGAGTAATTTGATTAATCAAGTAAAGTAATAAATTCACATTCATTTATTGCTGTGGAGCATAGCTCTTGTTTTCCATGTAAAATGAAAAGAATGGTTTGATAGAATAAAGGAAACATATATATATATATATATATATATATATATATATATATATATATATATATATATGTGTGTGTGTGTGTGTGTGTGTGTGTGTGTGTGTGTGTGTGTATAAAGGAATGAAAAATAAGCCTATAGATCATCCATATTTTCAGGCACAGGATGCTACTATGAATCAATAGTAATATTGATACTGAATCTTCATGTTGTTTTTGTCTTTTTGCCCTACTTCTTTAGTGTCCCATTTTGATGGGACTGTTATCATTGGAGCCTGGACTAGAGCAAAATCTCAATTCGCTGTGTAAAGTTACAGGTGTCTGAATCAATCAATCAATCAATGACAGTAGAGCTGGAAGGGATCTTGGAGGTCTTCTAGTTCACCCCACTGCTCAAGATATGAGGCTGTCCAGTCTCTTCTTAAAGACTTCCAGTGATGAAGCACCTACAACATCTGAAGGCAAGATGTGCTTTCTAAGAGCTACTTTATAGCCCACTGATTTATGCAAATATCATAAGGCGTTCTCCTTTAAAAACAGAAGTCTCTATTTGATTGCCACATTTTCCTCAAAGTGTATATGTTGAATGGGAAGAAATTTTGTTTAAGGAACCATTATGAATTACTGTCTGTTTTTCTTTTTTCTGATAGCCATGCCAAAATGTGAGTATACAATTTTACAGAAAGTGACAATATGATTTCTTTTTCTGATGTATGTGAATTCTAATTTTTATTTCTGTTACTTCTCTAGGGTCCCTTTCTGAGGTTCAGCTTGTATCATCGGGGCCTGAAACTGTAAAACCAGGACAAAATCTCAATTTGCTCTGTAAAGTTACAGGTGTCTCCATCACTAGTAGCAGTTACATTTGGAACTGGGTCCGTCAGCCTCCTGGAAAAGGGTTAGAATGGATTGCCAGAATCTATCCCTATGATGGGAGAAAATGGTTTTCATCTTCTCTTCAAAGCCGTACCACCATTACTTCAGATAACTCCAAGAATGAATATTCCCTTCAGTTGACCTCCATGTCAACATCTGACACTGCCATGTATTATTGTGCTGGAGATGCACACTGACTGATTTTGCCTGATCCTCCGAGCAAAAACAGGAAACTGATTCTGACTGGGCATTTCTGTTCCAGGCAGCAGATTAAAATTCAGACAATGAAAGCATTTGAATTCTTTGAGTAATGTCTCCCAGAATTTTTATTTTTTTAAAATGGACCCAGTCATTGAAATGTTTAATGAAAGTTTAATGGAAAGAAGGAATAGGGTGAAGGTGATATGATAATAGCAGTGTACTAATACTGTATCTAAGGAGCTGACACAAAGAAGAGGGGTTCATCAAATTCCTCAAAGCACCTGAAGGCAGAACAAGAAGCAATGGATGAAAACTAATCCAGGAGAGAACCAAGCTAGAACTAAAGAGAAATTTCCTGACAGTTAGAACAATTAATCATTGGAACAAGTTGGCTCTGAAAAATGTGGATGCTTCAACACTGGAGGTTTTTAAGAAGAGATTGGACAACACTTTTTTCTGAAATGGTGTAGGGTTTCCTGCTTGAGCAGGGGTTAGAGTAGAAGACCTTCAAGGTCCCTTCCAACTCTGTTCTATTAAATTCAGCTGAAATAGATGATGACAAACCCATTCTACCCTATAGATAGCAATAGCACTTAGACTTATATACCACTTCACAGTGCCTTACAGCCCTTGCTAAGCGGTTTACAGAGTCAGCATATTGTCCCCAACAATCTGGGTCCTCATTTTACCAAGTTCAGAAGGATAGAAGGCTGAGTCAACCTTGAGCCGGTCAAGATCGAACTCCAGGCAGTTGGCAGAATTAGCCTGCAATTCTAAATTCTAACCATTGCACCAGCACAGCTCTTAGCTAGATCCAACTAGCTACAATGAATTATGTCTGCTTATTTATTTGAACTGTAATAAAGCATAACAGTAAGCACACTCTTGATGACATGGAAATCACGTATATTTATTTTGAACATGAGGAGACAGTAGATGTGGGTTTTTTTTTCTGACTTATTTTGCCTGAAGAATTTCTGCTTTCAAATTGTGGTGTTGGAAAAGACTTATTTTGCTGAAGAATTTCTGCTTTCAAATTGTGGTGCTGGAAAAAACTCTTGAAAGCAAAGAGATCCATTCAGTCAATCCTAAAGGGAATCTACACTGACTGTTCTTTGGAAGGATAGATACTGAAGCTCAAATACTTTGGCCACTTAATGACAAGTGAAGACTCCTTGGAAAAGACCCTGATTTTGGGGAAAGATGAAAGGCAAAAGGAGAAGGGGACAGCAGAGGATGAGATGGTTAGTGTCATCGATATAATGAACATGAATTTGGGGAAATTCTGGGAGACAGGGGAGGCCTGGTGTGCTATAGGGTTGCAGAGTTCAATACAATTTAGCAACTGAACAACAAACTCAAAAGATGTTTTCCCCCTTTGAGTTTCAGTTCCTTCAGAGGACTTGGAAAAATCTGTGGATTTCTATACCTAGCAGGCCCAAAGGGAATAAAATTATCCTCATTTTCTCTTCTCTCTGCCTCTATCTCTGTCTGTCTGTCTGTCTCTCTCTTCTCTCTCTCTCTCTCTCCTCCCAATCCCTTCCTTGTTTTTGGTATAAGATTTCCCTTTACTCCTGTTGCTGAACCCCAGAAATCAGTAACTGAAAAATCAAACAAAATAAAATGCACTAAGTATTAATAAACTAAGAATTCATTGCAGGTATCTAACAAATAGAGTGGATGAAGGAGGAAAAGGGCAATGCAGCCTAATCTCTATTTCAAATTTCTCTCTTGAGATCATTAGGTTAACAGTAAAAACCAGAACTCTGATTGAGAAGTAAGAAATATAGTGAGAGACAACCAATTCTCTCGCTATTTGCAAGATATTTCCTCTAGAGGGCACCACAGTACTGCAAATCAGAAATACAAATACAGGACAAATACAGAATGGTATTAGTAAATATAAACAGTGCTTCTTGGATGATTTCAATTCATTCATCCATTTTTGATCCAATTTCTCTGGAGTTTAATTTTGTTTACCTGGTATTTCTCCCTTATTCTTTTCTCCCCAAATTTCTTTTTCCAGCTGTCCCCAAATTTTCAATTACTTCTCATTTCCATTGTATAACTAAAGAAGGGGGAAGTTTATCAAATAGAATTCTAAGGAATTATAGAAACAACTGCATATGGAACAACTTGATGGGCTTTAGGAGGCTGAAGTTGTTACAGCAATTAAGAACAGTGGTAGAAACCATCCACAGTAGTTCCTGAAAGCTTTGTAAGATCCTTTCTTTGAAATTTTTGTCCCTCAATTTAGAACTGAATTGAGGAACAAAACTCAATTTGGAACAATTTAGAATTGCTGTGCTACTGTGAATAAGTCAAGGATACCGGTAGTACAGTCAAGAAGTATAATCAAGCCATGGTTACACAGATATAAAGTTAATTCTGGGATGTTTCAGGAAACTACTCACATGTCATGGGTAAGAGAGCAAAATATCAGGGATAGCATCTTCCTTTCTGCTTTCCAACACTAGTTACCATATTTTCTGGTGTATAAGATGACTTTCTAAACCATGAAAATCTTCTCAAAAGTTGGGGGTCGTCTTATATGCCCAGTCATCTTATACACTGGAAAATACAGGTACATCAAAGCAAGCTCCCCCGTATTCTGCACCCCATGCTCCTCACCCCTTGGCGTGGGGATTGGCTGTCCAGATGAGAGTTTAAGTGACCCACGCAGCCAAATAGCCCTAGAAAAGTGTCCCTCCGAGAAACAGCCGGGAGGAAGGGGCGAGGTTGGAGCATTGGCTGACCAATGGTGGGAGAGGAGCACTGGCGGAGAGCCAGCCGAGTAAGAATGTCCGTGTTGGGTTAGCAGTGGGGGCTTCCCAAGAAGAAGTGCCCCCACCCCCCTTGCTGCCAAAGTGCTGTTCAGCACTCGCAGAAAGCCAGCGATTTCGCAGAAGCATCCGCCGCTCGGGCAGGGATCCTGCCCCTCCCAGTCATCTTATACGCTGGAAAATACGGTACATTGTCTGAACAGATAAGTGCCAATCAAACTACATAATTTAGAGAGTAATTGCAATATGAGCCCTTCCCCAACCTAACATTTTCCATTAATTTTCATTATACTATCCACTATATACCAAAGGAAAGGGAAAATTATCAATCAATGTCTGCCTTAGATGAGCTCCATTTGAGAGACTTACTGCATGTTTCTGTATATGCAACGGATTTATTGAAGGGATGCAATTTATTCCCATTGTATTGTGTGATTTAATTTTGTA